TATAGTACGTGGCTTCTTTCCTTAAAAAGTAACTACAACCTAAAGGACAAAATACAATGAGACCGTTACATTTGCTACAAAAGTTAACGTCCTAAGCCATTGGATGTGAAATTTCACAAGCAAATTATTAAAAAATAACTTTGGATTTCACATATGAGAGCTGAGTACTTTTTTAAGTAATGAAAAGTCTCTTTGTAGACTTTTCCGACCATCTTGACAAATTTATCGTTCTTGCTAGTATTAAAAATCCCAAGGATTGATTTTGAGTAACCGGTAAACTGGCTAGTTTGGCCAGCCTAACCTGGCCGGTCAAAAAAGTGCTTAAAAGATAAAATAAATATAAAAATATGAAAAATATATTTAAAACATGATTAAACAAAGCACATACTTGAAAATTAGTGAAAATAATAGATTTTAAAAAAAATCAATAGGGGTATTTTTTATTTTTTTTTAAAAATATAAAAATATAAAAATAAGTATTCATTGCCAAAATACTTTCCAATCTTTGCCAAAATGACTAAAAGCCTTTAAAAACTCATTACAAACAAATTCCTTATTTTTTTGGGAATTTATATAATTTTTTAAAAAATATCCAACCAGATCACTCAAACCGCCCAAAATCTAAACGGGCTAGTAGTTGGTTCTGATCTAACCGGTCGGTTTTTATTTAAACTGGCCGATATTGCATTCACTGCTAGTATTTTACAAACCTTGTTATCCTAAAACTCTTTAGGGCTTTACTTGTTTCATTTAGAGGTAGAAGTCAGATGTCAACTAAAAATAGCAACAGTTTGCTTAACATTCAAAAGAAAAAAGAAGAGCAATTTCTTAGATATTTCGAGTTTTTAATTTTGTTTACGTCAGTGCTTAGTTTATTTGTTCCTATTATATATATATATATTATATAGCGATTCGGAATATAGAAGTGCTTGAGTTTTCAACACCAAAAAATTTCCGTTGTGGAGTAACTGCATATCAGTCCACAACTGTATTATTTAGACATGAGATGTGTTATATGTTAAAAATGTGAATTTCAAAATCAACCTTTTACATGTTCGTGCACCATTTAAATAAGAAAAAAATCCAAATTTTATGTGATTTTAAGTGATATTATGTACACTTATAATAATATTTCAAAAAAACAAATAGTAAGAAGTATAACACGAAGAAGTATTTAAATTTTTTAAAAAATGTATATAAAAAGATCATTTATATTTGGTACAAGGCGGTCACAATTAATCTTGACCATTAGATTCGGAATTAGATGGCTGCATTTATTCATTGACCAAGCTCAAACTTTAAAATAAAATTTTTTGAACCTTGGGACACACACAAGTTATCAGATTTTACATCGGATGGTTATAAGTAATTGTGACATCTTTGTATCAAAAGTAAACGGTCACATTGAGACTATTTATCTTTTGTACATGGAGGCCACAATCATTTTTGTCTCTTAAATTTCAAAAGCGGTGGTTATAAGGGTGATATTAAATACACACAATGATCCAAAAAATAATAATTCTCATATTTCGTGATTCACCTCAAGCCAGTCAATTTGACATTTCATGAGTGAGAATGATTGTTATCCCCATATACAAAAGATAAATGGTCTCTTCATAGATAATCCCTTTCATAAATCGAAAAGTTCTTTATTAGGTGGTCCTGCAAAGAATTTATTTATTGTGCTGCCCATTTGTGCTTAATCACTATACACCAGGTTTGTGCAGTAGCTCAAAGCTCTCTCTCTCTCTCTATAGCCCATATGGTAGGTCAAAAGGTGGAAATATATTTTTTTAGTGAAAATATCAAACATCCAAAACATAGTCCTTTTTATTTTCATATCCCCCCTCTTTATTTTGGGCAGGTTGAAAATTTGGACAGTAGTAGTGCCAACATTGATAAAAATAAAAGAGGGCCATACAAAATAACCAAGAGCAAGAGAACTGTACTTTTGTCTTCTACAAAGCACTAAAAGAAACTTTTAAGATATTGGATTCATGAAATCTCTTTGTCGATTCCCTCATGCTATGGGGAAAGCCAAAAAGGAAGGGGAATCCATTGACTTAAGCTTGCAATGAAGCTTTAAAAATAAAATGAAAACGAGAGATTGTAAACTATTTGTCCTTTTTAGCAAATCAATATGATGAGTGCATTCTAGGTTTATGCAAGATCTTGTCACATGTGCAAGCTTGAAAACAATGTTTTTGTTTCTATGAATTATTTCTTGGATTGAATATGGGGTTGAAGTTTTCTCACAAATGTGTATTGGACAGCATACATAATGAAAATAAAGGACCTGTATGCAGGCTTCAAAACAAAGTTCTCTCTCTCTCTCTCTCTCTACATTACTTCTTGAATTTGATTTAGAGAAGTAAAAAGATTTGCTACTCCCGCGGGAGCATACGCTGTCTTCTTCGATAAAACTCAAGTTAGGAGTATTTTTAGAACGGATGTAACGTCTTGAATCTAGCAATCAACTTCATGCGCTTGGAAAAAAAACAAAAAAAAAGTTCTAAAATGGAGCGGGGACCGTTTCACTAAAAAACAAATGGACTGGGACTGCACAATTCATACACGGTCTTCTTCATTTATTGAAAATGAAGTGATTCTTAGGTAGATCCCAAAATTTCAGATCGAAAAACTCCCCAAATAGCTCTTTTGATTGAGGGAGATGCACACTATGCTTCCTCAAGTGTACAACCTATTGCTTTAACCACCATGACAATTTGATCTAAGCTATAATTTCTTTGTATTTTGAAACCGGATGAGGTTCTTTAACCACCATGACAATTTGATCCAAGCTATAATTTCATTGTATTTTGGAACCGGATAAGGTTCTTTATCATAGAACATGACATGCCCTGACCACACCAAGCACAAAGCCATGAATCCAAAATCTCAAAAAATACCACTATACAGGTACATTTTTTTTTTTTGACAAATATTTGAAAGTTTTATTAATGACTAAATAAAAAAATTACATCAGAAGAAATCATATGTACCACTATACATGCACATTGTTGTTTTAAAAGCCGAATCGAATTTTGGATTGCCCACCCAGGGTACACATATGATGGGTCAAAGATGCGAATCGGTAAACAGGTTGGCTAAAAAAATAAATAAATAAATAATAAAAAATAAAATCTCGGATTTGCAACAACAAATTTACCTTGGAGAACTATCATTATCCGTTGGATCAAAATGTTCAAAAAAGTCAGCAACATTGAGAACTAAAATAAAACCCAATATTTTTATATGTAGGTAGCAGGGTTTAAAATTTATTACTATTTATTAGAGTCAAACATAATCTCTCTTTATGAAAAGATTCTTATTTACTCTTTCTAGATTGTTAGTTATTAGGTTTACCTTAGGGACGACAACACTTCACCAAAGAAAACTAAAAGCCAAAATATTTCATGCTGCAAATGGAGCACACTGTCCATTACTATTGGCCAAAACGCAA